CCGCCGGAAGGAGCCGCCATTTGCCACCGCCGAGCGCACGGGCCGAGCCAAGCCGGATCCCGGAGCCGGAGCGGGACTGGGACCTCGAGAACGGCGATGGGGGGCGGCCCCGCCGCAGGAGGACTCGGGCGCGCAACCCCCCGGGCCCGGCCGGCTCCGGACCCGGATCCACGGGGCGCGACGCTCTGAGCCCCTCTCCCCGCCCCCTGCCCTGGCCATGGCTGCCCACCTCGCTGCCCCCGGGCGGCCAGCCCTCTCGGCCCCGCGAGCCCCGGAGCCCCGGCAGTGGCAGCAGTGAACGCCGGTCGCAGGCCCTAAAGACCCCGGCCCGGCTTGGCTCTCCAGCGGGCGCCCCCTTCCCGGCCTTGTCCTCTCCCCTCCCCCCGCCGCCCGAGAGCCCCTTTGCACGCCGCCCCCCGCCTCCCGGCGCCCGGACGATGCTCAAGTCTCGGCTCCGCATGTTCCTGAACGAGCTGAAGCTGCTGGTGCTGACGGGCGGGGGGCGGCCCCGGGCCGAGCCGCAGCCCCGGGGGGGCGGGGGAGGCGGCTGCGGCTGGGCGCCCTTCGCCGGCTGCTCTACCCGGGACGGCGACGGCGACGAGGAGGAGTACTACGGGTCGGAGCCGCGGGCCCGGGGCCTGGCGGGAGACAAGGAGCCACGGGCCGGACCCCTGCCGCCTCCCGCGCCGCCGCTGCCGCCCCCGGGCGCACTGGACGCCCTGTCGCTCAGCAGCAGCTTGGACAGCGGGCTCCGAACCCCCCAGTGCCGGATCTGCTTCCAGGGCCCAGAGCAGGTCAGGCCTGGACACCTGGCCGGGAGGGGAGGGGTGGGGACGCACACCTGGGGTGTCTGGGGAGACCGCGAGCAAGGGGCGGGGCCTAGAAAGGCTGGGCGGAACCCAGGACCCGGAGAGAGAATGGGATGAGGTGGGGGGTGGGCTGGCTGGAGACTTCTAATGCGCGCTTTTGTGTTGGAGGGGGCGTCAGGGGTCCCTAGGAAGGGGTGGGGCTTTCTCCTGGGAGAAATCCTTCTCACCCATTAGCAGGGACAGAGGTTCTCCTATTTCTCCCACACCAGGGTCACTGTAGGCTGAGGGGACCTGTTCTCTTGGAGGTGGACAGAAAGGAGAATGCTTCAGTTCCCACCTTGAAGGGAAGGGCCGGGCCAGCGCCCTTGCCTCACTCAGTATTTCTCCCTGTGGGGCACTTTTCTTCACTTCTTATTGTGCAACTTTACATCTCATTCCAAAAAGCATTCTTTGTTAAAATTTTGTGGGCAAAGTTGTCCCAGAATAGTGCCAAGGGTATCTCTGTAGTGAAAAGTTTTTCTT